AAAAAAAAAAAAAAAAAACTGCACCAAAGCCTCAGGGTTTGGGCCTCAGGCTCCAGTGGGTGCAGAATGCAGGACCTACACGCAGGTGCTTCCTCATGCACCACACTGAGACCCAGCCATCCTCCCTTGCTCCTGGGGACAAGAGGACACCCAGCAAAATTTAGGGACCTCTGGGTCACGGTGGCTAGGGCCCCTCATGATGGGCTAAAACTGCAGGGCAGAGGCAGGCACCAGGGGCAACCAGCACCCAGCCATCCATTCTGAGGCAGAGGTGGCACACAGAAGGCTGCCTGCTGCTTGCCCACCTGACCTCACAGCCCATGCCAGGCCATCCCTGGCAGCACAGCGGAACTCACTGCTCCTGTCAGCTCTCACCGCACCAGCCGGCCTCTCCCACAGCACTGGGGGATGCTGCCTGCACTGCGTGGGGAGGGCCGGGCGGGCTGGACAGAGCGTGCTGGAGAAGCTGTTTCCTCCCAGGTGTGAAGAGCAGCATTCAAACCTCCCAACGGTCCAGGCCTTTGCCACACTTGCTACCCTCCTGCCTCAGCCTCCAGGTAGTGGGTTCACGGCTGTGTGCCACCATCCCTGCTAGGAAACTGGGTGCTTCCAAGCTCAGCAGGGCGCCCGCTCCAAACAGCCCGACTGAACTGAGAGTCCCAGCCTAGGCAGGAGGGCTCATGTGCGCCTGGAAGTGGAATTCGGCTCTTAGTGCAAGCTGGGTGTTGTCCATGTTTTTTGTTTTGTTTTGTGTATCTACTGCAGGGTCTACAGGGTCTCACTACACAGCTTGGACTCATAGTGATCCTCTTTTCACGATCCCAAGAGCTGGGGTTACAGGTGTGCGCCACCACGCCGTCTCACTCGCCATCTCAGTGCACCCTGGAGGCGGGGCCAGCAGGGCAGGCTGGGAATCGAACCCCCGGCCCCTGCGTCTGCCTAAGAAGGCGCTTTAATCTGCTGAGCCCTCCCCTGTGTTTCTTGACAACTGAAATTCACTCTCTCCGTCTCACAACTCCAAGCTAACAAGAACTGGAGAAGGCCTTAACTTCCTGTAACCACAGCTTGCTCAGTAGAGGATTTGGTTCTAAAGAGTCAACTGTAGCCGCCTGCGTTTGTCTGTGTGCACCTGACTTCTCTTTAAACTTCAATGTGCTTTTCAGATGGGGCCAAGGGACCTTAGAAGCTTGCCTTTCACCGCAGGGCAGAAAAGACTTCAGGTGTGCTGCCAGAGTGCCCTCCACCGTGGCTGCTGCCCAGGCTGCCCTCAAGGTGGCCACTGCAGCACAGAAGGCGGCGGAAGCTCCGAGGCCCGGGGCCGTCGGGTGGAAGCGGTCAGTGTGTGAGGCCCAGGCCCCCATGCACCCGCAGCCATGCCACCCGTAGCCAGAGCAGCGGGTACGTACGGCAGGTGTACACGTCCCTGTACTCCATGTGCTCGTAGTCAGGAAGGATTCTCATGAAGCGCCCCGACTTCACGCGCGGGTTTATACCTGAGCAGACATAGTGGGAAAGGGCTGAGGACGGCACCTCCTCCGCACCACGGCACTGCACATGACACCACGCCCTCCCGACGTACACCAGTGGAAGTGCACAATGATGTGCAAGCTCACAAGGCCTCTCCAGGCTGCCACTCCCGGGGGCCAGTGCACAGGTGCAGGGTGGGGGCTTTCCCCACTGAGGGAGTGGAGGTGTGGCAGGGGCACCTGCTGCGACCCAGGTGAGCCCCGCCCCACTGGGACCTTCCCCAGGCCAGCCTAGTGCTTCCGAGTCAGGCCACGCAGGCTAGCCCACTGGGTCCTCTTCATCCCCTATTTGTCCCCACAGCTAGGTGCTTGCTCTTGGAGAAGAGTTTCAAAGCAAACACACAAGCACAGGGTTCCTACAAGATGCCAGAGGAGACCCAGTGTGTGTGGCCAGGAACAGACCTCAGGAACCACTGTACCACGCAGACACTGAAGGCCTCAAATACGCAGGAAGAGGAAGTCCCTGCTGGCCTTGCTTGCCTGTGGGTGCCGCTCGGGCCAGGCCACCCCGCATTGCCACCCCAGGGCCACAGAGGCGCCCAGCTGCCCCTGCCAGATATGACCTGGCCCGAGCTGCTCCACTGAGATGTGTGGCAGATGCCCAACAAACCTGAAGAGCAGCCAGGAGGGAGCCTGCGGGCCGCACAGAGGGAGAACCGGATGGTGGCCTGCACTGAGGGCCACATGGGAAAGCAGGAGACACTGAGGCAGCTTGGGCTTGTGAATGCTGGGGTGAATTGGGGAACAAAAAGCAGGAGACTTGGGGGCTCAGCCTGCTTAGAGAAAACACTGGGGAAAACAGCTACAGGAGGCAGTGAGGAGGGTGCAGGCGGCCTCTCTGAAGGCTGCTTTCTGCATCCAGGAGAATGGCCAGCAGCCAGGGAGACGCGGACCCAGGGTGGTGGGCGAAGTTCCTCCACAGCTCCACAGCTAAGACCTAAGGTCCTTGGGGTGGGGCCAGCTGGAGAGCAGGAGTGCTCTGCCTCGGGTGCTGTGGCCCTAGAGCACTACTGCGCTGCAGGCAAGGCCCTGTGTGTTTCAACAGTGCAGAGGGCTTTCCGCATTCCCACGTGCTGGCGGGGACAGGCACACTGGCCAGCCTTACCTGACCAACACGCTGCACACAGGCACTGAAATGCCACAATGTGCCCCATGAATGTGCATGGTTATTATGAGTCAGTTAAAACAAAAAGGAAGCTGGGCTGTGTGGCACAGGCCTGCAGCCCAGCACGGCTCCTCCTGTGGCAGGAGCATTCCTGCAAGCTCAGGGCCAGTGTGAACTGCACAGCGAGACCC